GATCGTGAAAGGTTTTGGTCTAGACTGTCCTTGTTGCTTAGATTTCTGTTAATTTCTGTTTGGTGCAGGCTTCCTGAGTCCGTGTGTACGGGGGTCAGTGTCTTGTTCGCGTGAGTCGTGTCTTGAAGTATTTTGTTGAGGAAGCATTTTTGCTCGTCTGTTAGTTTTGGTAACTGATGTGGAGCTAATGTTTGACTTGTTATGTTTGCCTCTCCTGATTTTAGTTCGAATCTTCCATTATTTATTTCTACGTATCCCTCGTCTAATCTTAATCTTTGTTCGAGGAGCACCTTTATTCCTAATATTCCGTCGTATGGTATCGAAAAGTCTTCTGGTGCTACGTGAAAATCAAAATATTGGCAATTTATAGGTATTCTTACTGCTCCTAGTGTTTGTATTGGTTTGTCCGTAATGCCTGAAAGTAATATTTTTCTGTCTTCTAATATTGCGTTTATAGGGATTTGGTCTTTTTTTATAATATTCAATTGTGCACCGCTGTCAATGAGGAGGTTGCATTCCTTTCTTGTATAAGGATTTTCTATTGTAATGTATTGTAATAGGTTTTCCAATCTCAGTGAATACATTGCCATTCTTGTTGTTATTCTTTCTTCTTTTATGATTTGATTATCGGGCAAGTTGGGTCCTAGCGTTTTTTTGTCGATGGTAGCAGAGCGTGGTTAAGGCAAATAAAATGATAGTGTGCACCACATGAGTAAAAGAGGAAAAAAATATATTCAGAACAAGCAAAAACGTTTTCTCCAAGCACAAGGTCCAAGCGCAGAAACATCGAACATCGAGGGCGCGAAACGGAAGCGCCAAAACGGCGCCGCAAATTGGCGCGAGGATATCTAACGCATAGCGCGAATTTCAACACTCCCCCTTATCCGCGCGTCAATGAATCGCGTATGTTAATTTTGCATATTGAGTAACTTTACACACTTTAGATGTTTTATTTTTGGTAATGACTTAGTGAACATATCGGCTATCATATCATTTGTGCTTAGATACTCCACGCTAATGTTGCCATTTTCCTGTGCTTCACGTGAGTAGTGATACCTTATATCTACATGCTTACTTCTAGAATGGTGAACGCTATCCCTACATAGGGTTATTGCGCTCTGATTGTCGCAGAATACGGTCGATGCATCTGGTATGAATTCCTTAAGTTTAATATGGTACAGTAGTTCCCTTAAATATACGACTTCTTTCGTGACTTCTGAAAGCGCTATGTATTCGGCCTCCATAGTTGACAACGCAACGCATTTCTGCTTCCTTGTTCCCCAACTAATTGGACCACCCGCTAAGGTTACAACGTATCCAGTGCACGAATGTCTATCAACTACATCGCCTGCCCAGTCAGAGTCTACGTACGCTTGTAATTTGGTATTTCCTTTGGTATATGTTATCGCATAATCTGTTGTTCCGCGTAAATATCTTAATACGCGTTTTGCCTTTTGCCAATGACTTATGTCTGGATTATCACAAAATCGACTTAATGCACTCGCTGCAAATGCAATGTCTGGGCGTGTCGCGTTAGCCAGATATATTAAACTCCCTACTAACTCACGATATTGCTTTCCTCGAGTTTCTAATGTATTCTCGTCGGATTGTGAAGCATCCGCCTTTACAAATTTTTCATTTGGCTCCAACGGGGTTGCCGAAGGTTTACAATTATCCATTCCGAACCGTTTTAACAAATTTTCCGTGTATCGGCGCTGTGATATTTTCATGCTTCCATTTCCAGCTTCCCTATCAATATGCATACCTAAAATATCTTTAACCTCGCCGAGATCATTCATCTTAAACTTACGTTTTAGTAACTCTTTAACTTTATGTATCCTACTTAAACTCTTTGATCCGATTAATAAATCATCTACATATACTACGATTATGACATCGCTATTTTCATCTGAATCTGTATACACACAGGGATTAGCCGCGTTTTTCTTAAAGTTTATACTCGCTAAATAACGATTCAATTTTTGATACCATTCTCTGCCTGCTTGTTTCAAGCCGTATAGAGGTTTCTTTAACTTACACACTTTTTCTTCTTGAGAAGCGTCCTTGAACATCTCCGGTTGAACCATGTAGAGTTCATCTGTCAAGTCTCCTTGGACGTATGCTGTGACCACGTCCATTTGATGAACGTACATTTGTTTCTCCACACAGCATGCTAGAAAGGTTCTAATGGTCTCGTATCTAGCGACTGGAGCAAACACCTCGTCATAGTCGATTCCTTTCGTTTGCTGATCTCCACGCGCAACCAACCTCGCTTTAAATTTATCCAAGGATCCTTCTTGTTTCGTTTTTACCTTGAAAACCCATCTATTCGTTAATACTTTAGTATTTCTGGGTCTACTTACCAGATCCCAAGTATTGTTGTCAATAAGGGAGTTATATTCAGTCTTCATGGCCTCTAGCCACAATTCTTTTTCTGGACTATTCATCGCTTCTTTTACGTTGCTTGGTTCCACGTACTGATCATTTTGAACTATCATTGCTGTGTCGTATATTTTTCTTGGCCTGCCTGGTTTCCCTGTCCTCAACAACCTTGGTCGTCCAGGTCCTCTATTTACTTGAATCGGAGTATTTTCACTGGCATCATGAAACACAGGTTCATCATCGTCAATAATTGTTTCGTTTTCTTCAACTTCTTCAATAGGAGGATTAACTGGAATATCTATATGTGTTCGTTCTTCCAAAATCTCTTGCCCCCCCTCAACCATAAATTCTTCATATTTGTAGTTCGTTTGGAAATCATTTAAGAATTTTACATCTCTGGCTGTGTCCATTTTCCTTTCGTTCGGGATCCATACTTTATATGCCTTAGATTCTGAAGAATATCCTACGAATATCCCGCTCTTGGCTCGTGGATCCATTTTTCCTTTTCCAGGATTGCGATCGAGGACAACACTTTTACAGCCGAATGTTCTAAAGTGGGATACCACAGGCGCCTTACCTGTCCACATTTTAAAGGGGGTTTCCCCATCGAGGCTACTAGACGGACTTCTATTTCTGATATAGTTCGCTGTTGATATTGCCTCTGCCCAAAATGCAGGTGACAAATTAGATTCCAGCAATAAACACCTTGCCATTTCTACCAGCGTCCTATTCCGTCTTTCTGCGATGCCATTCTGCTGTGGAGTGTGTGTGACTGTTAATCGTCTACGTATGCCACACTGATTCAAGTATTTGTCGAACTCCTGATTGCAGAATTCTTTTCCATTATCGGATTGTATACATTTTAGCCTTTTTTCTGTTTGATTCTCCACCAGATTCTTAAACTTTTTAAACTCAGTTAATGCATCACTCTTGCTTTTCAAAAATCTGATTTCGCACCATCTGGAATGATCATCCACGAGCACCATGAAGTACCTCGATCCACCCAAGGACTGAGTTCGCATTGGACCACAAATGTCAATGTGTACAATATCCAATATTTCAGTTTTTCTTTCTGATTTCTTTGGGAATGGTAATCGTGTAAATTTTCCTTTCAAACATATCTCACATGGAGGAAGCTGCTCATTCAGTTCGAGATTTATTCCATGTGCAAGCTTGTTCTTCACAATTTTCTTTAAGTCTGTTGCATTTAGATGGCCATATCTCCGATGCCATTCCAACAGTTTTGACTTTTCTGGCATTATTTTCCTGGCATGTTCATTATTTTCTTCTATACAATAAAGGCCATCGTTACGATTTGCTCTTAAAAGAATTTTATTATCTTTATTTCTAACTTCAGCAGAATTCTTTCTGAAAATAACGTGATGACCCTGATCAGTAATTTTCGCTACTGATAACAAATCAGTTCTTAGATCTGGTACATAAAGTGTATCCAATAGATTAAATACATGTTCGTTATTGGTAATCTGAACTATGCCTTTGCCTTTGATTTCTGTCGTTTCAGAACTTGCTAAATTCAAATTTTTGTACTCAGACGTTTGTAATTCTTTAAATCTCCTTTCGTCTTGACACATATGTGAAGTGCAACCACTGTCCAGACACCACCTGGAATTACGTGAAACTGTTAATGCAGAATGTTTAATGGCCGAAGCATACAAACAGTCCTGTTCTGCGTTATTAGCCTTATGCTTGTTTGCATTCTTTCTCTTTTTGCATTCAGTAAATTTATGGCCAAATTTCTTGCAATAGTTACATCTAAACTTAAATGCTTCTTTGGGTTCCTGTTTTTCATTGCTTTCTGTCCTTGGTTTGAATTTTGGGTTTCGTTGAAAATTCTTGCCAATTGAGAAAGCGTCTTGAACTGTTCCAGGAACATTTCCTTTTCGAGCATTGCTCTCCTCTAAAATCTTTAATCTTAAGTTCTCTGGTGAAGGCAACTCGTCCCTGGTTTCTATTGCACAACGAAAGTTTTCAAAATTACTTGGCAAACTATACAATAACATAATGGCTAGGAGATCTTCGTTAATTTCAATATCCATATTTTGCAACTTATCGACTGCATCAAAGAAATTGTTCATATGTTCTCTGATATCTTGACCCTCTTGCATCTTATGTAAAGTCAATTGCTTCAATAACGTTGCCTTGCGAGCAGGGCCTTTTGTTCGATAGATCGATTCTAATTTCAACCAAACTTCACGAGAAGTTTCGCAGGACTTTATTTGACTTAATTGAGATGGGTGTATAGATAAAATTAAATCTGACCTTGCCTTCTTGTCCATTGTCTTCCAGATACGGACTTCATTTTCCGAGGCAGTTTCCTTAAGCATTATTTCACCATTTATATATCCCCACGCGTCATTTTTGATCAATAAAGCCTCAGCTTGCATACGTCACGTATCATAGTTGTCCTTTCCAAGCAGTTCAATTCGTATTGAATTTGATTGACTCATGGCTTATACTTGACGCAGGAAGAAATATCTTTCCCACGTGGCCGGTTCAGAGTTAACCTCACTTTCTGCTCGACGCACCACGTGCTTTTCAGGAACTTAACTATTTTTACCTTAATTCTTTAATACGCGGTATCGTCTGGGCCCATAACCTGTCGATGGTAGCAGAGCGTGGTTAAGGCAAATAAAATGATAGTGTGCACCACATGAGTAAAAGAGGAAAAAAATATATTCAGAACAAGCAAAAACGTTTTCTCCAAGCACAAGGTCCAAGCGCAGAAACATCGAACATCGAGGGCGCGAAACGGAAGCGCCAAAACGGCGCCGCAAATTGGCGCGAGGATATCTAACGCATAGCGCGAATTTCAACATTTTTTCTGTTCTGATTCATTCAGCTCTGTACTGTCGTTAATTTTATATGTTTCGAGCGGCTCATCATTGCTCCTCCCTATGCGCTCTCTCCAGGAGGAGTCTATTCGTTTCCCTGTCTGTGCTGTTGGTGGTTTTGCCCTCTGTGGCATTCTTCTGTTGTGTGATTCGTACTTTTGCACAGGTTGCAGATTTTTCCGGCGCTGTTTTCCAGGCTTTTTAGTTTCCTGCATGCGTCTATTAAGTGTCCTGGCTCTTCGCAGTAGGAACAAATATCTCTTTTTTGTGCTCGTAGTTCGATGGCTTTCAGTTTTCTACATTCTTTTATTGTATGATTGGGGGTTCTACAATAGTCGCAAAATTTTCGCGGTTCGTTCGTGTGTCTCGGGTTATCTCTGTTGCTATTATTATTTCTGGAGTAGTTATTGCTGTTAAAATTTCCATTGCCATTATTATTTCTGAAGTGATTATTGCCGTTAAAATTTCCGTTGTAGTTATATTTTCTCTGGAAGTTACTATTATTATGGTTAAAATTGTGATTATCTCCATACAAGTCATTTGATCTACGTTGAGGGTTTCTCAACTCATAGTAGCTTCCTGCCGAGTGACCTAATTGGTTACGATTTTGGTATTTAATTGGGTGTGTCCTAGTTTGGAAGACTCTTGCCCCTTCGCATTCTTCTGCATCATGGCCTTCTTCGTTGCAGTTTGTGCACATGATCAATTGGAGTCTATTGTTTTTCGTTAATGGACAGTGTTTTATAGTATGGCCCAATTTATTGCAGAGTGGGCACATAGGTGTTGGGCAATTTTCGGCTGTATGGTATCTACTATTACAAATTTCGCAGAGTTCCGTAATTTTTGGGAATCTTGTGCAGGTGTTTGGATCGTGACCGCTTCCTTTGCACTTCCAGCATGTTTCGTATTCAATTATGAATGGGCATTGGGTGACCGTGTGACCCATTACTTGGCAATATTGGCAATAATTTCCTTTTGATCTATTCATTCTACATGCGTCTATGGAATGTCCCTGGGTGTTGCAATATTTACAAATAAGCTCTATCTTGTTTCTAGCGAATTTACAATTGTATGATATGTGGTCTTTGTTTTTGCAGTATACACATGCCGCGTTATTGCAAAATAATGCTTCGTGGTTTAGTTCTTTGCATATTTGACACGTATACGTTACTGGGTTTGCGTCGTATTTCTCGAGGCTACATAGTACGCTAGCTGAGTCGCCGCCTCTCAGCATGTTTTGTTTCTTTAACCTTGATTCGATGTCGATGGCCTCTTGTATAAGGACGTTTAAATCGTCTTTCTGCTTTAATTCTATTCTAATTTCCTGCTTTAGCCCATTTTTGAAGCTTTTTACTGCGTCGTTTTTAATCGTCCTGTCAAAGTCCTGTATGATTTGTTGGTTTATGCCTGTTTCCATTCTTTTTAAGTCTTTAATTTGTATTACTAGTTCCTGTAATCTATTCCCGTAGCTAAGTACTGTTTCGCCTGGTTTTTGTGTTAGTTCTGTTAATTTTCCATATAAACTGTGTATATTTTCGGTGGATGGGAATAATGACTTTATTGCCTGAATAAAATCGTTTACGTTATTTATCGGTGAGTTTATTAGTGCTTTGTATACCTCTCCTTTTAATTTAATTTTTAGGATCGGGATTAGGTTTGGTTCGTCTACGGGTGTTATAATGTTTTTAGCATGTTTTACTTTTTCAACGTATTCGGTAACTGAAATATTTTTCCCGTCGAATTCGGGTACTAGGTTTGCTACGTATTTCAAGGGTAATCTTAGAGGTTGGATTTGAATTTGTTGGTCTGTCATTTTCTTTCTCGGACTTACGCAGGTGAGTGTTAAATTTCCTTCGCTATTCTCTCCGTCCAGATTTCCTATTAGGCTTGGTTGTTCTGTGATTCCTTCAATTTCGAGTAGGGATATGTCGTTTTTGCAGCTGTTGTTTATTGTTTCGTTTAGTATTTCGGTATTGTTTCTGTTATCCTGGGGACTTATTCGGATTAGTGGGGATGCGAAAGTTCCTGTTTGTTTGTTATTATCTGCTTCGTTACTTGGGTTAATTGTAAATCCTATACTCTTGTTTTGCCAGTTGGCACTTCCGTTTTCCGTTTGGTTAGTGTTTACTGTTAGATTTTTAACATTCTTTGTTCTGGGTATTGCACCTAGATTTGTATTCGCGTTTGACGCCTCGGCTGTGACTTCTGGTGTGAAGTCAAATGTTCTTCGTTCTGTTGGTGAGCGCGGTGTTTTACGGCTTTGTAAAAAGGCTGACGCGTAATTACGATCTTCTACAATACTTTTAAGTTCAGGATTTTCTTGTGTCCTGCTTCTTGTTAATCTGTTTCCGTCCGTAGTATTTTTGTTATCCGTTGGTTTAAGATTTTTATTATTCATTTGAAATTTTCATTATTTGTGATTATTTAGAGGGTAAATGAGTTCGTTTTATATTTAAGAGATTTTTATGTATGCTTCGTAGCAGTATTTCAATAAATTCTTGTGTTGTATATAAAATTGATTCGAAAGTGAATGACTTGGATTTTTCTAAGGTTGCAGACAAAGATTTATATTCTCGAGCTAGATTTTTTTCTTGAGTCTACCCTATATTACAGGTTAGTAGCGTTCGTTGGCGTTCGATTCGTACCGGAACCACTGTGAAGTCGCAGGGTCCCCTCTCTCACCGAGTCCTCTGCGCACTTGTATAATTATCTCTAAGCTACTGATTTGGTAGGGGTTCTTACTTACCTTTCGCTGGGCGCGGATACCTGTAGAGATGAGTCGTCTTGGTTAGTGGAGTCGGTAGGGTAGATGGTCTAATTGAGGTTCACGCACTTCTGATCACAACAAATGTTTATTTGGTTCGAGTACAACCTTTAACTTGCGCGCGCTTTACGGATGAGGTTGCTCTGTCGGATCCCTGAGTTCCGTAGCAGAGTCGTACTTCGCGGAGTTAGGTGCGCGTCTTAGAATTGGTATCTCGGATTTTCGCTAGACGAACTGGCCGATTCCGAACAGCTTTCGCGGATCGCTTAGGTGATCTGATCACTACAAATTCTGGGGTTGATAACAATTATACTGTTCTGTCTACACGGGTTCTGTACTGGTTCTGCGCGATATTGGATCTGTCGCGAGCGGGCTTGGTCGCGTTATTATATATTGATGAGCGAGGTCAATCGTTTGGTTGTCAGTTCGGGTGAACCACCTCGTTCGGATTGTCAGCGTTCTTGCGATACGTTGACCCGAGCGAGCTGCTCACTCAGACTTTTCGGAACTATGAATTCGGATAATGAAATAAGAGTTTAAAGAATGTGGATGGCGAAATAAGGGTTCCAAGAATGCGTCACAGGACGTGACAGAATATATTGGAAATGGGTATTAAACTAAAAATAATGATACAGTTTCTAAAACACAAAATGAATTTATTTCTCAAATGAACACTCAGAAGACGTCTGCACAGTTTGAAAACTAAAGTTGAAGTGAGGAGTTGTCAGCGGAAAAACCCCTATTGGATCCACTTAGAAAACTAAATATAGAAATGCCCGGAGTTTTATTGCTCAGGCCATTCCTGGAAAACTCTATACACCCATCGGTCCCCAACCTAAAGACCGTTGTATAAACCATGACTCTGTCCGTATCCTTTGACACTGGACTTGTTTTTGTTACCTGATTGTTTCCAGATAAACTAACAGAATAAATGCTGAAAATATAGAAAAAGAAATCATATTACTATATATTGCTACATTATACTCAACAATATTAATTTGGAATAAAGAATGTATTGAAAAAAATAAGATTTAATATTTCTTTTACTTTAAACATATTTCCTTATATATCCTACGAGAAAGTAATTGCATCTGTTTTCAGAGTACGTTTTTCTCATTTGCCCTAGTATTTCATTCCGCACTGTTTAATTTCTGTAATGTAACTATTCAACTATTCTACTCCATAATTTTTTGGTTGTAATTCCCTCATCAATGTCTGAATAAATGCTGAAAATAAAGAAGAATAAATCATATTATTATATATTGATACATTTTACTCAACAACATTAATTTGGAATAAAGAATGTATTGAAGAAAGTAAGATTTGATATTTCTTTTACCTTAAACATACTTCCAGATATATCTTGTAAGAAAGTAACTGCATTCAATTTCCACATGTTTTTCACTATAACCTATACCTGTCAATCAATCAATCAATCAACTCAACTCACTAATTTCGCCCCTAAGGGCCGGCGCTTTTGGGGACTTATCTGTCCCCTGTTGCGTGTGGATTTAGTGTTCTAGGGATATTTAGAATTTGCCGAACGTGGGTAAGGTGCCCGTGGAGCGCTGAAGCGCTCTGCTCGCGGCGCGGCTTTTAATAAATCAAAACACCTTTGCGTAAGAAATAAAAATTTATACGACTTTATTTCGTGACTATAACTTTGACAAAAATGTATGCAGGCTGCCATCCCCTCCTCGCTAGATCCTGAATCCTCCCTCAGGATCATCCCTGGCCCAATGGTGGAGGAGCCCATCCCTGTCCGGAGGCGGTCCCTCTCCCTGGCTTCGGTCCACCCTTGGGCGAGTGAAAGATGGTGGTGCCCCGTCAAGACTCGAGAACGATTCCATGCACACGTGCTAAGAGAAAGCGTGGGATCCAGAGAGAACGAAAGAGAAAAAGGTCTCGCGCTAGCGAGCCAAGGCAACCCTTAAGAGAATTTACTACCCTCTGTATATAAGCAGGATGTCGAAGAGACTTCAACAGTTTCAAGAACCAACAGGATTTTCGTTAAGAGTAACGAATTAGATACGGCCCGCAATAAATTAGTTTCTTAAAAACTTCAAGTGTGACAGTCTTATTTCTCCGGATTTCCAACTCTCTCTCAACACGATCACTCGCGCTGAAAGGTTTACAGTGTCCTATCTTTTATTTGTTTATTCCTTTGAATTTTGGCTCCTAATTTATGAGCATTGATATAACATAATGCAGACATGCTGCAACCATACTCTTATGGCATCGTCGCCATATTACATTTCATTCAACGCTTGTGATTACAAGCTTGCAGCTAAATTCACTCGATATTGCACACATACATACAGGCGAGGTTTGCAACACCCCGTATTGCGCAATGAACCCTATCGGCCACGCGCCTTCGGGGATGTGCTGGCAGCCCCGCCAACACCAAACCCCGCGCATTTTTAAATTTCGTCACTTATACCTGTCCATACTTTTAAATCTTACTCAGTCCATACTTTTAGAGTCTGCTCATCTTTTGTCCGAATCGGTGTGTATGTGTGTGTACGTGTGCGTATGTGTCTGTGTGACCCCTTTTAATCGCCTCTTACGACAGGTAGGGGATACCGTGGCCGTATTCTAAGCTCCCCGAGCCACAGGGGGTATCAATCAATCAAAACTTTCACCCCGATTTGCTTTTCGGGTGCTTTAGCACCCCCGAAGGCAAGGGGTTGGCATTTTTGGGGACTTTTCCGTCCCCGTGTTGCCCAACGAACGCTCTCGTGCCCGCGCCTAGGGCCAAACTCCCGCGCATTTTGAAAAGCTAATTTTCCTCTTTGTGCTTTATCTTATTTTTACATGTTTTCGCTTTGTTTTTAATCCATACTTTTACATTTTCACTCGTTCCATACTTTTGTATCCATGTATTCCCTCGTTTCTATAGTCATGTTTTCTATCGTATTTTGTATCGAAGTGTATCAGCGCTTCTTATTTGAATTACAGATATCTTTTCTTTACAATTTTACAACTTAATGCCTATCCTAGTTTACATTTGATTATTCTATTACTATTGTTAGAAATTTATTTACATACTTTCCTTACTTTGAGTATTTCACATTTTCACTCCCACACACTCCATTCACACCATCATACTTGCAGTTATCCTTCCTTACTCCTTATCAGCCGAGCTATCGGTAACCATCCTTCAAGTCTACTATTTCTTTGAACTTCTAGTTTACTCTACTTTGTCAATATCATTTAATTCCTTGCTGACTCTATTCTGTTGCCTTGAAGGTCTGATTCCGTTTACATGCTCGACATGTTTAGTTCGCCATTACCGCATTCCCAAAAGGGGTATGATTTTGTCTTTTCTTTTCTTTCTTTTACAGGTCGTTCATCCTTCCACTCATCCTAGGGACGGACACCCGGCTTCAGGGCCCCCGCACGCGGTAGTCGGCTATTTTGGGCCAGGGTCTTTTATTATTTCTACCATTTTACTTTCGCTTCTCTATTTTTCTTATAAAGATTATAAACCCTCCACTTTGTCATTTAATTTTTACCCGCCATGCGGCAGGCGCCCCCAGCCGGCGCCGCCTCCATCCCTCATCCTCTTTCTCGCTTCACACTCTCTCTCTCTCATACTCACACCCGCTAGAGCCGGTTTTACCGAGAATAGCGACTCCATCATGCCACGCACGCGTATTAAATTATTCTTCCCGTTTTTATTAGAAATCTCGCAACCGCCACGCATACAGCCGGTCTTTCTTTTCTCACAAGGTCTTGGTATTGTGGTCTGCCGCTGAACCCCTTTTCTCGCATCTTCGCTACGAATTCGTCCCTGATGTGATCGTACTTCTCGCATTCCCAGAGGACGTGAGCCAGGTCCTCCACGTGCTCTCTACAGTCGCATCCATGGTCCTCCACCACGTGTTTCCTCGCCAGTGACTCGCTCAGGTTGTAGTGGTTGGCTCTTATTCTGCTGAGCACCGATATTGTCCTTCTGTCTTGGGTAACGAATTTTTCAAACCACGGTTTTCGGCGCTGTTTGTTCGTATCTATTTCGCTAAAGTATTTAACATCTTTGTATCGCGCTTCGTTTCTCATTTCCGTCGCGAACTCTTTCCACGCATTCCTTACCAGATTCACTAGCATGTCTTCGTACGGTAACGCGTATTCACAATTCGGGGTTTGTTCCGTGGCCCTTTTGGCCGCCGCGTCCGCTCTCTCATTACCCGCGATTCCTCTATGCGCAGGCACCCACACAAATACCACTGGCGTTTTTTTCCGGTTCACAGTCTCATTCAACGGTAAGTTTTTCATTAAGTATATTTCACATAATTCTTTCATAATTTTCGCCACAATTTCTCCTCTTTTCATCTTAACAATGTCTTTAATATCTTTGTTTTTTGCAGCTTCTAGTACCTTCAACACACTCGCAGAATCACTATAAACGAGCAGTCTTCTACCATCACCGGACTGACTGTACAACCTGAGGGCCTCCGCCACCGCCACTGCTTCCGCAGTGAAGATTGTGGCTCCAGGGTTCATGCTGAACGTATTCTCCTCCCAGTTATTTTGCTGTTTCGTCACCACGGCTGCACCCACCGCCTGGGCTCCCTCTCGTTTCGACCCATCGGTGTACATCTCGGCAAATTCCTCGTCTATCGAGCCGTACCGCTGTCTGGTTTCAGCTGGGACACTCATCAGGGCCGCTTCCGGTAATACCATCATCTCACCCGCTCTCCATTTTATCCAGGGTTCAGGGCAGGCCGCCAATTCCACCACCGGACGCTCCGCGCCAGCCCTCGCTGATTCCATCAGGTCTATGTTTTTTCTGAAAATTTTTATCACATAAGTCCATTTGTTTTCCAACCTATTACTGAACCCTTCCCAAGCTTCGTACAGCCATTCGACGAATGCGCCCCTACGGTTTCCTATTTTTTTAAGGAGGTATTTACCCGTTAGCAACTCTATTCTATTTCTAAACGCCATTATACCCGTTTCCACGTGCATGACATTGGCTGGAGTCGATATTCTATATCCCATCGCTACCCTCATCCCTGCATTCTGTATCTTATTCATTCTATCTACATTGTTAACACTGCCATCGGTATATATCATAGCCCCGTACTCGACCACCGACCTCACGAGCGCCTTGTACAGTACCAACATGATTCTTTGATCGACTCCCCTCGCGATATGCGCGATGTACCTCAGCATGTGCAACCTGTCCCTAGTTGTTTTTTCAACGTTTCTAGTGTGCTCTTTAAAGTAGCATTTCTTATCAAACATAACCCCCAAGAACTTTGCCTCGTTTGATTCTGTTATTCTAGTATTTCCCACCCTTACTTCTACAGGTTGGTTGGCTCTGTGGTCTGAGCTCCTTGTTCTTCGCCATCTTGATCAATTTACTATCACCGTTTTTTCTATGGACAGGCCTAGCCCTATTTTGTTCAGGTTCTCTACAATCTTGTCAAGGGCATTTTCCATTTTTCTACCGTTACCTATTCTTTGATCTTCCGTCGAAACGTATATGCCTATGTCGTCCGCGAATTGTAGTTTTACTATCTCTTCATCGTCAATTCGCTCCATAATGTCGCTTGTGTAGATATTGTACAGGATAGAGCTCAGTACCGATCCCTGGGGGAGTCCTCTTTTTATTGTTCCCTCCACATCTTCCTCGAATCTTCTGATCACCGTGACAGTTCTGTCTTCTAGTCAGCTCTTAATATATTTGAATATTTTTGTTGGGCACCTTTTTTTCATTAGGATTGACAGGAGCATACCATGATCGACCCTGTCGTATGCCGATTTAACGTCGAGAAACGCCGCTAGTGTGGCTCTGCCATTGTGAAAGCCACTCTGTACGTCTGTTCTTATTCTGATCAGGTTATCGATCGTCGATCTTCCCCTTCTGAATCCGTTTTGCCACTCGTGCATGATATTATTTTCTTCCGCCTAATTAACCAACCTGGTGTTCACTATTCTTTCCATTAGTTTACCCATACAGTTGGTCAGAACTATCGGTCTTAACGCCTTTTTCCCGGGTTTGTCTAGGAGGATCACCGCAGCCGTTTTCCAGCTCGGTGGTATCACCCCCATTTCCCATATCCTGTTGAACAATCTTAGCATTATCTTTAGGAAACTGAAGGGCAACGTACCTATCGTTTTATTGTCAATTCCATCTTTTCCCGGGGCTGACTTTTTATTCATTCTTTCTACGGCACTCGAGATCTCCTTCGTGCTCAGTGGTCGCTCATATGCTTCGGCTGGTTCACTTGCATACATTATCCTTTGTTCTTGCGTAGTAATCTCGGCGCCCGTTGATGATGTTAGTATATCATCGTCAAATATTTTATCCGCTTCCGCTTGTTCCAGCTCACTTCTTTCCTCGTTGGTCATGAGATTCTGTTGGTGTTTTCTCCCCTTTTGTAACCCTTTTATATTTTCCTATAGGGATTTACAGTCCGAGCTGTGATTGATGCTTTCCGCGAACTTTTCCCAGGATTCTCTTTTCCTCTTTTTGACCA